CACTTACACCTTTGTTTATTACCAAACAAAACAAAATTCCAAGTATAGAAAATAGGACCGACACCATTGGGACAACAGACACTGAAGGTCAGTGACTTACTCCCTCCACACCTGAATACCTGGAATGAGGAAAAAATTGATCAATTCCTGCCGCACTATAAGTCAATGATACTCAAGCTCAAACCGAGCATGTTGGGAGCTTCAGATAAGCGAATTTGGACAGGCAATCCAACTGGTGAGTATACTACCAAATCAGGGTACATAGCTGCAACAAAGGAGAAAGAACACAGACAAGGTACTAACCTGATGAGCAATATGGAGTGGCACAACCAAATCTGGCAATTGAGAGCTCCTCCAAAAATAAGTTGTTCATTTGGAGGGCAATGCAGGGTGCTCTACCGGTAGGTGAACAGCTGCTAATCAGAAACATTACGAACTCCACCAAGTGCTGTAGATGCGATGGTTCAGAGTCAATATTACACCTTTTTTTCTTGTGCCCTTTTGCAAAGGAGGTATGGAAGGATGCAAGCTCAGAGGAGTTTGATTCAGGTCAAATTACAGAGATGCGATCTGGATTGGCATTAGTGAATGATCTGCCCTCGACTCCCCCATTCAGAATTGAAAAGGGATATCTATCCCCTTGGATCCTTTGGACGTTGTGGATTGCTCGAAATAAAAAAATCTTCAACACCAGGGAATTCACAGCTGCAGAAACCATCCAAAAAGCAGTCCAAGATGCTCGAGAATGGGCTCAGGCACAAGTGATCGCCACTACCCCAAAGGTATCGACCCCGTCAATCCATCTTCAGAATCCACTACCCAATCGGGAAGGATTCATCACGTGCTCCACCGATGCAGCCTGGAGGGCTGATTCGGACATGGCTGGCCTCAGCTGGATACTAGAGAATCCGGCAGGCACCCTACAGGAACACTCATCGTCGTGTGCAAACGTTTCGTCTGCCTTAGTTGCGGAAGCGTTGGCGCTACGATCAGCGGTTTTTCAAACGCTGGAACTTAATCACAAGAACGTCGTCTTCAAATCGGATTCACAGGTGCTGATCAGAGCGATCAATTCTGGAGGATTGATCTCTGAGATTCATGGGATCGTGGAAGATGTAAAACTCTGTGTTCCGATGTTTGATTCGATTGTGTTTAACTATCTCCCACGCCTGGATAATGCTATAGCGGATGGGCTGGCCAAGCTGGGCCTTGCTAGTGTAATGGGCTAAGGCTGAATGTTTGTTTCTATTAATATAATGAGTTTCAAAAAAAAAAAAAAAATAGGTTTGAAAATCACTAGATCTCTTTTTTACCTTAAACCCAATGTTGAATTGCAATTTGCAGACCACTAAAACATGGTCAACCTGGTCATTCTCTTTGTAGTCCTGCCGAATGGATTAATAACTTATAATATCAGGACTTCCTAATATTTATTATTTGATGGCATGTAATCTCACCAAGGGAGTATTGATCTCAAAACATTTTGACACTTTCCCAATGCTTTCTTTTTTCACTTTGTCGACTCATCCTTTGAATATATATCTTTTTGAACGATTTAGGCTTCTATGGTGCATGAAAAAAAATTATGCCGTGAATCCCTATTTCACTTCCATGACATGTGAGTATTGTCGGGTTTACGATGAATGAATCCCTAGTTCACTTGGTACCAACCTTTTTCAAAAAAAAAAAAGAAGTCAAGAGTCTACAACGGTTATGAAATTTGAGATTATTGAGGCATTGTATTCCATGATACCGAATCCCTAAGGTGATAGATTAAGTTCATATTAGTTTTGTGAAACCTTAAAAGCTCTTAAAATCTATATCTTTGTTAACTAAGTGACTTGATTGATGCTCTTGTGAGAATATAACCTTGGAAATGATAGTGTTTATGAATCTCTAAGGTGTGTGGTTTTTGTGTATGATATTGTTTCCTTCCTTTTTGGATTAGGAAGCATTTTTGTGAACTTAAATTTTAGTGGGGCCTTGGATGTGTCCATGATGATGTCTAGTAGTCTTCACACCTTTAGAAGACACAAATGTAGCTATATGACAAGTTAGAAAGGCATAAGACGCGACCATGGTGGTTGAATGGCTTGACATGTTGCTTGTGATCTACTCTGACATGTCTAGGGGAAATCTAGCATAACTCTTCAACCGTTTAGTTCAAATGATCTGAAATCACATATGAATGAAAGCTAACAGTCGTGGCAATGTTGTATCTAAATATCAACTCACTCCAATAAGTTTAAGGCATTTGGCGAATCACAAACTTCTACATAGCCCAAAAACTAGTACTTCTTTGTCTTTTTGTGTTCTTTTTCTCCAATTTCTTGAAAATACTTTTGACAGTAGAAACAGGTCCGGACCAGGTCCTGTGCAAGGAGTTCATTTGCACTAGGCCCATTACTTTTTAAAAAAAAAATTTAGCTAATTTTTTACAAAAAAGACCTCGAAAATTTTTTTTTCCTGAAAAAGAGGATTTTTTGTAATATTTGATATATAAGGGTCAAACAAATAATTTATGCTCTGGGCCCAGTTTTACACTGGGCCGGACCTAAATAGAAATGATCTAGAAACACCATAAAGACACTAAAATATCATAAACCCCTAAACAAAACTTATAAAACCTTTATCAACTCCTTTATACTTAGAACTTTGTTTATCCTCAAACAAAACATAAATCCAAATATAGAAAACGTTGTAATTTGAAAATCATTTGAAACTTTTTTTATTTGACTTACAATCTGCAGACAACTAAAACATGGTCAACCTAGTCATTCTTCTTGTAGTCCTACCACAACTTTAACCAACTTCGCATGCATTCA